CTCTCTCCCCCTGCCTCTCTCTCTCTCCCTCTGCCCTCTCTCTCCCCCTGCCTCTCTCTCTCTCCCCCTGTCCTCTCTCTCTTCCCCTGCCCTCTCTCTCCCCGCCCCGCCCTCTCTCTCTCTCCCCCCTGCCCTCTCTCTTCCCTCCCTGGCCCTCACTGGACTGTCGTGGCTGTCCAAAAGCACATGAAAAGCACCCTGGCACCCTCTGAGGCCACCAGCACCGACACCCCTGTGCTGCCTCCCAGCTTTCCGGCCTCAGTTCTGCTCCTCCTTCCAGATTCTGAGAGCCACGACCCCACTTCGTCCCCAGAGCAAAACTGGCTCCTGCCTCCTGGGAGTCGGTGTGGAGGTAGCAGTGTGGCCTAGGTGTGGGGGAAGGGGGGCATCTAAGAAATAAGACAGCCCATGGGACCAGCAGCTGGCGTAATGGTCACGTCACTGGACTCCCATGTAGTTGACCGTGGTTTGAGTCCCTAACCCAGTGGCTTAAACTCATGCCAGGCGCGTGTGCGTGCGTGCCCAAGATCCCGAGAGGAGAGGGGAGGAGAAGGGATTGCGGCGTGGCCATCCCCCCGGGGGGTGATTTCTCACTTCCTGTCTCTCTGTCTCTCTCTGTCTTTCTGGTGAGTGCATGCGCCCTTTAGCAAAAAAAGAAAAAAGAAAAGAAAAAAAGAAAGAAGACAGCCCTCCCCACCCTGCCCTTCCCCCACCACCTGCTGGTCCCAGCACTGCCTCCTCGAACCCACAGTGCTCGCCACAGTCACACGTGCATACGCTGATGTGTCTGTGAGTAAAGACTGCACGCTTGGGACCAGCAGGTGGCATAGTGGTTACACCGCTGGACTCCCACATGGTTCACCGTGGTTCAAGGCCCAAACCCAGCAGCTTAATACTCAAGCTGGGCACATGTGTGTGCGTGCCCAAAATCCTGGGAAGAGAATGGAGGAGAAGGGACTGTGGTGTGGCCGTCCCCCAGGGGGTGACTTCTCACTTTCTGTCTCCCTGTCTTTGTCTCTCCAGTGACTATATACACCCTGTAGCAAAAATCTCTCTTATAAAAAAAATAATTAGAGGGGCCAGCAGTTAGCGTAATGGCTATGTCGCTGGACTCCCACGTAGTCAACTGCGGTCCGGACCCGGTGGCTTAAAACTCACGCCGGGCGCGTGTGCCCAAGATCCTGAGAGGAGAATGGAGGAGAAGGGATTGCAGCGTGGCCATCCCCCCCAGGGGGTGATTTCTTGCTTTCTGTCTTTCTGGTGAGCGCCCACACCCTATAGCAAAAAGCCTAAAAAAAAAAAAAAAAAAAAAAAATTAGATTGTACACTTCGAATGGGTAAATTTTTTGGTATGTAAATCATACCTCGATAAAGCTGTTAAAAAATAAGTTTATCTGAGTGAAAAGACCCGTGCACTTATCAATGGTTCATTAAGCACCTACTGTGTGCAGGAGACTTTCTCAGTGCTGGGCAGGGCTGTGAGCCGAGGCAGGGCGGGCAGGATGGGGCCTGAAACCAGCCCGAGGCTGAGATGTGAGAAGCCCAGCAGGCAGCGGTGGCGCTCTGCAGGGCCGAAGCCACGGCACCACGGGCGGGGCGGCGTCAGCCTGAGCATGCACACGCAAAGGCTCCAGTCCAGGGTCCCAAAGAGCTGGAGGGCGGGGGGGGCTGCAGCGTGAGGACACGCCAGGGCGCCTCGGTCTGCTCGCTCTCATGCATGTGCACACACTCTGTCACGAATAAAATCAACTTTCTAAAAAGACGGTTTTGTCGGGCCAGCAGCTGGCATGGTAGGGCGTTGGAGTTCCACAGGGCTGACCACGGTTCAAGGCCCGGGCCTGATGGCTTCCTTTCTCACTTCCCTTCCTCTGTTCCTGTCTCTGGTCAGATTAGAAAACAAGTAATCGCGGGTTGTTGGGTGACCCTGAGCCGTGAGGAACCAGATGGTGCTGCCCTGCAGGCTGAGTGTCCTCTGCAACGCCCAGGGGCCGGCTCTGCTCCCACGAACCCGTGGTCAGACCAGCTCAGGTCTCCGCATCTCTCCAGGACCAGCCTCCCTGGGTGGTGGAGAGCACAGCCACCTGTCACCACGCTGGTCCCCAGGCTGCCTCTCTCCACCGGGCCAGAGAGAGGGCTGTCGGCGCCGTGCTCCTGGCCTGCTTCCAGCTGCTCCTCCGAATCCTTGCTCTGCGGCGGACCCCTCCCGGCCACGGCCCTCGCTCTCCGTAGTCGGGGTCTTGGACAAGCTGTTACTGACGCGGTCACGGGGATGCATCGCGGAACGCTGCCCCGGGCCTGTGGGCACGCAGCTCTCCCTTGGCGGGCTTTGCCGAGTTGGCTCCCACGGCGTGGGCGTCTGCACAGCATCGCCGCCGGGGGGCGGGCACCCACCTTTCGGGTGTGAGGCCTCGTGGCCTGACCGAGCCTCGGTGCCTTGCTCGGTTGTGCTGTTCGGCCCCGGTAAGGAGGAGGTCGCAGAGAAGTTCACCGAGGACAGGTCCCTTCTCCTAATCCCACGGTTACTTTCAGAATTGAATTACTGAAGAAAAGGTTTGAAAGGTATCCAGAATTGGGGGGCCGCGTCCTGTATCCCAGCGGTTACTGGGCTGTCCCCACCGTCTCGCAGGCCTCATGGTGTAACTGGACCTTACGCAGCTTTGCTGTGGAGCTGGTCCGTCTCTTGAAGAGAATCAGCGTGTTCCCGTCAGAACGCGATCGAAGTCCAACACGTGTCCTGGGAACCGTGGCCGAGGTGGGCAGTGGGGGACGTGGACGCCGCGAGGAGACTGCTGGAACGAGGTCCTGTGTAACTCTGGAAGCTTCCCTTCTCCTCTGTCATACCAGCTCCCGAGGGCCACGTGTCCTGGGGAGCTTAAATGAGGGACTGCTGACACCACCGGGAAGGACCCCTCCAGGCGAGGAAGAGAACCTTCGAGAGCTTCTGAATATGGAGGACTGCATTTAGGGAAGAGGCCCGCCCTGCAGACGTGTCAGAATGCTACAGATCCCGAACCCAGATGTGGGGTTTAAACACATGATGCGTGTCCTGAAATAACCTGCCCACGAATGTCAAATGATAAGAAATAAGTCATCTTCCCACTATGGGAATCTCTAATGTGAAAGTGTATTCTAGAAAAGAAAGGTTTTATAAAATAAAATAGTTATAATTTTAAAAACAATAATAATAATAATAAATAAATAATTCTCTTTTTAAGAATTATTTAATTCCATTTTTTTTTAATTTGACCCAAGAGAGACAGAGATAGAGAGACAAAGAAAGCAGAAGCTGCCACGTCCAGGACTCGGACTGCGGTCGACCATGTGGGATCCAGCGCTTCACCCACCTAGTCACCTGCTGGCCCAATGAACAATTCTTTCCAAAAACCTTTGCTTTGTCTTGGCAAGCACACTCCGCGGCCCTGGGAATAGCGCCCGCCCCCCCCAGCCCGTCCTGCCACGGAGCCTTCTCAGCACGGTGCCCCGAAGCGGGCCTCGGCCCTGCAACTGAGGGCGGGCCGTGGGGCCAGACGAGCAGAGGAGGCTCTGAAGTGGAGGAAGGGACGGCCCCAGAGAGGCCAGGACAGGGAGAGAAGTGGCCCTGCCCGGGCACTCCCCAGGAGCCAGCCCTGCCCAGGCCCTTGTCGGACTCGCGAGACCCCACTGGGTTCTGACCCCCAGAACAGCACGGAGGTCAGCGTGCGCCCTCTCAGCCAGCAAGGCGGCGGCCATCTGTCCTACCGCGAGGGGGCACTGCCACCCCACGCTGCTGGAGTCTGGGGCTGCCCGGCCTCCCCTGAGCTGCCGGGGGTCTGGGGCTGAGGAAGGACGCTGTGGCCTGCACCTAACCCTTACCTGTGACCGTGAGCTCCAGGGGGTCGCTGGGGGCCGACCACAGGTACGGGGACTTGCTGGAAAAGCTGTAGCAGCGGTAGGTGCCCCCGACGGCGGGCGTGACCGCGCCGAGGGAGAAGTCGGCCTCGTACCACTTCCCGGGCCTCTGGGAAGTCCTCGGGTCCCCCTCCTTGTACAGGGCAAATCGGTCAAAGCCATACGTGGCCCGGCACTGCAGAGTCACGCGGCCTCCCGGGGACACCTCCGTGCTGGGGCGGGCCGAGAGGGACGGCTTGTCGAAAGCTCCTGCGGGAGAGAGCGCTGTCCGAGGCTGCGGCCTGGCCTGACGAAGGCTGCCTCCGTCCCATCCAGAAACAGTAATGTTCTCAGGACCAGCAGCTGGTGGCTGGGGCGTGTCGCTGGACTCCCATGTAGTCGACCGTGGTTCGAGTCCCGGACCCAGTGGCTTAAACTCACGCCGAGCACGTGTGTGTGCGTGCGCAAGATCCCGAGAGAATGGAGGAGAAGGGATTGCGGTGTGGCCATCTCCCCTGGGGGTGATTTCTCGCTTTCTGTCTCTCTCTGTCTTTCTGGCAAGCACACATGCCCTATAGCAAAAACCTCTCAAAAAAAAAAAAGAAAGAAAGAAAAGAAAAGAAAAGAAAGAAAGAAAAAAGAAAGAAAGAGCAATACTCTCAGCAGGCAGCAGGCCACAGACACCACTGCGGGACGCCGGAGCCTGTGGGAGGTCCAGGTTCCGAGCCCAGGTCCCCTGTGCACCCTGTGTCCCCGCTGGTTGGAAGCGTGAAGAGACCTCGGCAGGGGCTCGATCATAAAAATAATAAATAAAAGAAGCTGTTTTAGAACTGTGATATTGTGTTCATTGTGGATATTTTTGGAACTGAGTTTTTCTTTTTCTTTCTTTCTTTTTGTAAGGGTTATGCCGCGGGGTGCGCATGCGCTCGGGAGAGAGACAAACGGCGAGAGGGAAGTGAGAAACGGCCCCAGGGTGGATGGCACGCGCAATCCCTTCTCCTCCTAGGATCTCCGGCACCCACACTCCCGGCATGATTTTCAAGCCAGCAGGTCCAGGACTGGAACCGCGCTCAGCCGTGTGGGAGCTCAGCACCTTAACCACCGTGCCACCTGCGGGCCCCAACGTCTACTTTCTAGAATTGCATGGAAATGTTGTCAACGCCGACACCACCCCTCAATGTAGCTTTGAAGGCCAGAGCCCCGCTGGCCTCCCCAAGCCCGGCCCTGACGGGGTTCGACCCACGGTCCGCAGCCGCG